AACTGTACACACTTTTCCTTGTTTTGTAAGCAAATCATCATATCACATCTGTAAACCAAGCCAGGAATAAGACTTTAGACTGCAATTTTTCAGCAACTCTGCACAAGCTAATTTTATTTAAGCCAGTAAGAGGCAGGAATATTCTACTACAGCAGAAATGTTTTGTTCCACACTAGTGCCTTCCCATGGTAGGGGTCTTCCCTGTGAATCAGAGACTTGACACTTTGGACTTCCATCTTGAAGTGTGCCCAGCCTTCCTGTACTTCTTCATTATAAAGGACTGATCACTTTAAATTCATGGCCATGACCCTGCTCTGTTAGAGATACATTCTGTACTTTGGTATTTTATCTTCCATTCCACATCTTGTGTTTCATAAGCTTTTGTAATGACAGTATATTACGCGTCACTATTTATCCTGATCTATGTTTTTCATCCACACCAATATATATCAGCTGGAGATACCTCAGGAGCTTGGGAAATATACTTTTATTTAAAAATCTCCACATTTCTGTGCAATGAAAAGGCAAAGGAAACAGAAAACAAAACCTTCCTGAAAATATTTTGCATCAGAGAAAACAATCCAAAATTTGTGGTTTCCTAAGAATCCTAACTAAAGTCCATTAAATCTGTAGAGACACAGAGACACACTAGACACCTGACCTTCAGTCGTTGGTACCAGGAATCAACCATACTACACTCAGTATAAGCATCTGATCTATTAACTGAAATACATAGTTTAACTGAAATACAAGTTTATCCTCTAGCCTCAATTACCCTCCCATTAAGGAATATTTCTGTGCTATCAGAGGTGTTTTTCTGACATCAACTGACAGACCACACTCCGCCAGCTGACAACATCACTGAATCCTTGGTTTTTAAGCATCCAGAAACTGGAGAAAGTCAAGATGAAAAGTCAGGGTACAGAAAAAGAACAGACATGATAAAGACTCCTTCTGAAAAAAGGCCTTTGTATAAGCACTGATACCTTAAGCCAACTTATTTCCAGCCTCCTTATACATCTTTACCACTGCCTCTCCCAGGTCCTCCTTGAAAGTGTGAGCCTTGGGACCTGCAGTTCAGTCCTGTTTGAAAGTCTTGAGAAGGCACAAGGGAAAAAAGTTAATGACTGGTGTGAAAAATTGCCTGAGTCTTTTTTGTTGTTGTGACTAGCCACTGGACTCCAGAATTGATTTCTACAAAGCACAAGACTGTGCAGCAGTGCTTCTCTGTACAGTTTATCTCTCCTTCATTTTTTTCTGCAGCAATGGTAACAGGTGCATACCAGCAGTCAAAATGCATAAACTGCAGAGAGAGGTAATCCCAGTTGTCAGGACTCCTTTCTACCAAACTGCTGCTGTGGGAACCTTTAGAGATGTTCTTTCAAGCCAGTATTGAGAAGCTTCAGGCTCCCTCTGTTTGACTGTGCTCAGTTCTTCGGGTGTCTGCACTCAATAGTGTCACAGCAGTAAATTTTCTTTTATTGACCATCCAGGAGGAAACAGAAACTGATCTTCCTGTCAAATATTTTGTATCCTTTTTTTTTTTGTGAGATAAAATGCAAAGTTGTCCTCATATTCCAAAGTTTAGACAGAAGAACTTGTGTTTCTAGTGGTTTTTTAACAAGAATTTTTGAAACTAACACTCATTAAAAGATAATTCAGAAGTTTATTGAAATAAGTTATTCATGTAGTAGGATGTATCACCAAAAAATGTTGAAGAGGCATCCAAAGAGTGACTCAGTATCTCCAAAACAGAAAAAACACGTTACTTTTTCTTACATAAGTTTAGTAAGAAGTGCACTAAATTCAGTGGGTATTATTTAAGGGAGCTCTTTTAAAAGTTCCTCTGTTTCATAAAAGTACCTGTCACCATAGCAAGACCTAAGCTTTGTAATATAATCCCTGAGAAATTTCTCATGAAACAGAATAACTCATTTGTGTTTAGCTGAAATAGAAAAGTGTTTTAACACTATGAACATTACTACTTTATTCCTGAGGCTATACAATGGGCACTGTACCATTTTAGTGATCCCATTTGCATTCTGCCTATGGACCTGTGACTGACAATGCCTAGTTTTTTAAACATAGATGTTAGCATAGAGCAGTGGAATAACAGAAAAAAAATAAAGCAGCTGTACTCCGCAGTAAACCAAAACAAGATGCTTTGCATAGCAGGAATGACTTAATCCACAGCTGACTGCTGTCTTTAGACTCTGAGCAAAAGGAAAATTTAGGCCTGTACCATTTACAAGCTTCACGATTTGCTGCCAATTTGTAGAAACCAAAGTAAACTTCTGGCAGGACTCCTGCATACCATAGTAGTTAAAGAAACTATCATCCCACCCTGATTTTACAAGCCTTGAAAGATTAGTCTAGTGCTTATTTCTACCCTCCTATACTAGCTAATAGAAGGTTTAATGTAAAACTTTCAAAATATAATTTTGGAAAGTGACATTCTGGTGTTTACACTGAATCTACAGTTAATTTTTTCTCATTTCTTTTCCTCACCAATTAGCCTTAGCTGATTAAAAGTGAAAAGCTAGCACACAGACCCAGAACTCTGATACTTCACAGCTGCATGAAAAGCTGCCCAGAGACACTTGCTTATTTTTACAGCCATTCTTTTTACTCTTTATCATCCCATCCCTTAAGGTTGGATTATAAAACGAGGCAGAATAAACTAGATCATTTCACAAAACAATGGCGCATTTGTACATCCCACCTTCACTGGAAGACACAAATCAGCATTATGCAATGTTGTCCAGTTGCTATAGCAGGAAGTAGGAATCAACCAAACCAATTTACACATTATGATGTCTTTGTAAAACATGGCTTTCAGAATGTTCCCTGGTTGTGTTTAGCTCAACTTCCACGCACAATTTAAGTATCTAATGCCAAAAGACCACATATGCTGGACAATCTGAATTCTGCCCTAATTTCTGAAGATATTTTAGACACAAAAAACATACACAGGCTGTTAGTAGTGCTTTTCAGTATCTATGTAGTATTTTTAATTCCTGTTGAGTCCAGGGGCAGCTGGGGAAAAAGGATGAGATCTGCAAAAGTTGAAGATGGCTAGGTGCTGTTTACCAGGCTCAGTATACCTGCTAATTGGAAACACTGAGCCTCTAGGCAGAGGTTATAAGCTGCCACGTAATCTTATATCAAAAACTTGCTCCATGTATTGTCTGTGTCCAAAAGCTGATCCTACACTGACACTGCACCTACTGATAACACTGACAAAGCTCAGTACAGTACAGCACAGCTTCTGTCCTCTGACCACCATATTTCACTGTAGGACCTTGAGGGTTGGGCAGTAAAAGTATTCAAGAGGGATGCAGGGTATGAAAACTATAATCCCCCAGCTCTAGGAGAGAAATTAATCAGTCCCAATTCACTTAAATTTGGATATTTCTAACTGTGCCCTCTCATGTCCCAACTTCAAGAAGAGCAACATGTTCATTCAGATGAGCCAGGATACGTCCCTGAAGTGTGTATAGAAATAGGTGGGTGGTGGACAGCAGGAGAGAGGGATGTGCTGTGATGCAAACTGGTAGCTCAGCTGAGGAATACTCATAGAGAGCCAGGCTCACTGTCCTATCTTTTCTCAAAACTCCTTGGAAGCCACGGATGGCAAATGTCTGTCCATCACACTCAGTTTGGTAGAGATCAATCACAGGCACTCAGGGCATTGTCAGACAGTCACCTCAGTTCCCTGCAACTGGCACTGCCAGCAAGTGATTCAGGCCATGCTTCATATTCCCCCCTTGTGCCAGTCTCACTCTCCTCTGACCTCAGGCTGAGCTAAATGCAGTATGTCCCTGGCCTGACTTAAAATGCAATTTTTTATTCCTGTTGTTGGTAGCAAAGTTATCATCATGATTCACACTAGGGAACTGCACAAAGGCTGGGGAAAGGAGTAAAGTGCAAATATGAGATGACTGGAGTTTACTACTCTTTTGTGGTAATCATGCAGTCACAGTTTTGCTCTTCCAACACTCTTTACGGGGCTCTAATACAGACACGTAGTTCAAAGGTAGGGCTGAAGCTAAAGTGGTCAGTCATACAACCTAGTTCTTGCAGCATGCTGAGTGGCAATGCCTACATCTCTGGGCTGTAAACAACTTTTGTTCCTCTATTCATAACTTTGTTTTCAAGTAACTAGCACTTTTATAACTACCCTGCTGGTAGTCCTGAGGCCTCTCATAAGCCATGCCAAAGATGTCTTTTACTAGCCACAAAAAAATTGCTTTTCACAATTAAAAAACAACCCAAACTTCAAGAAAACAAAATGCACAATCATTATATGAAAAACTAGTAGGATTCTCCTTCCTCCAAATGATGCAATTCCACAGAAAGGTATTTCTTTCTGCCAAGTACCTAGTTAAGAAAATGAAACCAACAAATACTGCCTTCAAATACCTATGAGGGCAGAAGTGGTCCATTTCCTGAGGTGAGGTGTCCTCCCAGAATTTCCCTCAGCCTTCAACACAGCACATCCAAAGAGCAATGTTGGAATGAGAAACATTGGGAAGCAGAGCTCTGAAGGGGATATATGTCATTCATGGAATCCCTCCAACTAGTCATGTGACACAGTATCATCGGGTAGAATTGTCACTTCTGGGTTTATAAGGTTTCTATTGAACCCCACATGAAGAGTCTTCTTCACTTTAAAAAGACATCATTAGAGGGGGAAAAAAATCCCAACCTCAATTAACTTGTCTACTTCTTCAATACACAAAGTCTACAAAATTCAAGAGGGTCAGAAACTAAGACAGTTGTCACACATAATGAGCCCCCAATAATTCAATGAAATGATAAATGCTTCCAAAGAGTCATACAGTGTGCATGGAAAGGACAAAAATATATATTTCAGAAAAAATCTACTGCAAATCATTCTGCTTCATGAGGAATCAAGTTTTGTAGACTTTCATAGAAGAATTTGTACTTTCTACATGATAACTTGGATCGTAAATGTCAAGAGTGTCATAGTGCCTTACTTGTTCTCGTTGCTGGCATCATATCGAGGCATAGGGTCAAAATCATTTCCATTAACATCAAAACTGGCTTGTGAATCCTGTAGCCAACAAGAGAAAGAAAACCAGTTTCTCATTAAGTAGCCATTGACTCATGTGGCCTATACATTCTTCAGCAGGTTCCTACAACAGAGTAATCAAGCTAACTAACATTTCTCTCACTTTATGATGACTGTGTGTTTCAGTAAAGGATTATATATTTAATAATTATAAGATTTATATATATTTTATTTTAATTTTGGAAAACAGAGAAGGATAACACATGCTCTGAAAAACTATAGTTCCAACATCAGAGAGGAAATAGAAAATGGTTTTCCATTTAACCAAAAGACTACATTTCTTCTAAGAAACTTTTAGGAGTTAAGGGAGTCCATTATCAAAACTGGGATTTTGCTAAATGTTTTAAGAGTCAAGAAATTATCTGCACAGCAATGACTGAAATTTCAGCCACTGTTTCAAGGACTAATAATGTAATTTTTTTAAGGATATTGTTACAAAATCACACCTCGAAATGCAACACAAACTATCTCCCCATTTCCCTGGAAGTGTAACTGTTTCAAATATTCAAAGATATCTCTTTTTGTTCCATATTTACGAGGATTCTTACAGCTGAAAATATAGACAAAATAGCTCCTGGTTTGTACGGGTCCCATTAATAGATGTGGTAGCATGTGGTGTGTTGACATGGCAAGCAGCTATTTTAAAACTCTTCTGTGTTAAAAACCAGTTACCACATCCACATCAAATATTCCTGTTTGCAGCCACACCACCTATAATCCAACATACAGAAGGTATCTGTGATCAAACAAGCAATGCATATTGCTTTGGGGGAATTCCTTCTTGGTGTGAGGAAAGGGTGAGAGGAGGTGGTAAGGAATTAAATAGCTGCTTTAAATTCAGTGGAAAGACATTACTGGGATGAGGTGATATATGATACAATCTAGGTCATTCATTGAGGAGGTCAAATTTTATCTGCTTGTTTAAATAACTTCACATATTAAAATGAAAAATGTGTCATGTATTAGGATCAAACATACATTGACAAATTGGTCTGTTGCCAGTCACCCTCCAAGCTGAGTTCCATGTGTAGCATGGGAAAGGATACAGATATAAATAGGGCCAATTTAAAATAAGTGGCTTTAACCTGTGGACACCATTGTAGGTTTAACAGGTTATAGATGGTTTTTTCACCTGACCTCTCTAATACTCTATCAAGAAGATAAACTTACTGACAAAATGCATGTGTTCAGGGCTCTTTAACAAGACATATCTGTAATGTGAGTGAAGGTATATGCATGCCTTGCACTGGTCACTTTAATCAGTCCAGCTCAATCCAAATATATTTGCTTGATTTCTTACCTTGTGTGTATGTACACCTTGCACACTTTATTTCAGACAAACCATGGTTGTCATGGTCACATGCTTTCTGGTAATGTCTACTTCCAAAGGACAGGACAAATCATTCCAGTAAAGTGTGGCCCTGATGCTCTGAATAGCTTCAAACTCTGACACTAACACAGGAAGTTACCCACTAGAGAAGAAGCTTCTCCTTATGTTATCCAGCCTCCACGTTATATTAAACCAATCATCTAAATGTGGTGAACCACAAGCAAAAGGAAACCTCCTGAGGCAACATGAGACATAGGACATTGAAAACAAAGGACACAGCTCTATCACAAATTATGAGGGACTTGGTAGCGTTAAGAGAGATTTATTAGAAAGATTCCAAGATATTCTACAATTGTTTTTAACAGAGTGAATCATAACTGGTCATGCATTTTTCCTTTTTGTCTCTAGAAGTAAGATAAATAGCTTTAAAAATGAATACATGGAAGGATTACTGTAAAATTACTGTCTTTGAGAAAAGCTACTGTCTCACTGACTAAATGTATTGGTAAAAATGAACTTCAGCTGCACGCATTAACTGAAAATCAGTGTATTCCAGTTCTACGTTCTGAGAGTGTGAGCATATTGAGTAAGAAAAATTTGTAGAAGAGAGAAAAAATACCCAGTAATTGGTTCCAGTCCTTCAGAAATTCAGGACAAGAGGCTCCAGATATTAAATATGTTCAGATGGAATACCGTCTTCACTAAACTAATACGATTACCAATAATTGTTTTCCTTCCTCCCATTGGTGTTAACATTTGAGGAAACACTTGATTGATTCTTCCTCCTTCTCTCCTGCCTCTCTCCATCTTTCCAGAAGCTAATTTTTTCTGAGTAATAACAAAGCAGAAAATCAGGACTCTTGTGGACACTCACATAATTCTGCATCAAATCTGGATGGTTTCTTTCGATGCCGTCATCTAGGATGGTGACCACAACATTCTTTCCAGTGTAACCTCTCTTCCAAGCACCTACTATATTCATATCTGACTGGCAATGGTGGGTGTTATCACTGCAGTGCTGGGGAGAGAAGAGGAGACAAAGATGTTGGATATTGCAGGTTACTGAGCAGTGAGGGGTTGAGACATTATTCTACTTACATAAATATTACCATTAAAATTGGCACATAAACATACTGATTTGAATAGCATCTATACAACATCAACACCTTTAGACAGAATACAATTTGAAAGAAATGCAAATTATATGAAAACTGCTACTCCTGCTTATTTGTCTTTCAAATTAGTCTTCATGTTAAGCAATAAAAAAGGAAAGCTGTACTGAACCGATAGAAGCCATGTGTAAAACAAAGCATCTCTTCCTGGCTGTTAAGCATGTTCATTTTGAATATTTTTTTTTTTTTTCAGAAAAACAAACCATATGTGGATAAAAGTAGACAAATGCCTTTACAAATGGTCATGGAAAAAACCCCTTACTTTCTGGAACTTACGTGCTGTACGATTTAGACAGCCAGTTTGGAAACTAATCCAGATTAATTTCTATCTAAAAAAGAAGGCTTTGGGCAGGTTTTATGCAGTATCAGTAGGAGATAAGCAGCAGTTAAGAACCTGTTATGAAAACAACACCCTGTAAAACTTGCAGCTTAGGGGATCAGATGAACTGTAGATAGTACAGACTGAAAGCAGCCTGGGGCATGGCTTTCAGAGCAATGAAGTCCAGTGTGGTGGAGAAAGAAACTTTAAGGTCCATTAAAACTGAAAGTCTCTTCCTTGACACAAGTGCACCTAGTCCACATGAAGAAACCTGGCTTGCCATGACAATGAGACATGACCCCCAGCTATCTGTAACACCCCATTAGTGACTCTCTAACCCAGATGCAGAGTCCCACCCTGTGAATTCAGTGAGCCCCTCATCAGTACTGCTTTCCTCTAGCTTCTCCAGGCTCAGACAGAGCAACAGGCAAAACCGTAAAAGAGATGGGGTGCAGATAAGGGGAAAAGCAAAGGGTGTGGGGAAGAAAAAAATTTAAAAAGAAACTTGCAGCATAGCAATAGTGGTCATAGAGCATGCTCCTTCTCACTTCCTGCCCCACTGCCTCATGTCCTCACTTCGGCCTCATGTCTTGTCACTCCACAGTACATAAGGAGTATAAATACATTCCAAGGGGTGCACTACACCTTGATTTAGTCTTCTGCTCTTCTCCCAAACGTGAGCTGAAGAACTGTTAGACTTCCTATGTGCAAACTGATGTCAGATTACTATTGTCATAATTTTCCCCCTCCTTTTTCTCCAGTTTACTACTCAAACAAGAGGATTTAAGAGTGGTTATCTGCTATTACTAAAGAAAGATTATATATTAGGCACTATATATATATACACACACACATACACACAGCATAAAGTCTCTCTCATGGTCTTTCCCTTGGGCCTGCAAATATCTGTCTCCGTCTATCCGAACTTCAGAGAGCAGTTCCAAGGAATGTGTAGGTTATTCTTAACACTTTTGTTCTCTGTACTGCTTGGAAATGCTCATGCTGCTGGCTTTATGAAATTAGTTACAGTCTAAACCTGCCATCTCTACAGTCAATGTTATGGTTGTACACATGCGGATTTCTAATGTACAAACAAGACAGTTAAATGAATTTAATGTTTCCAGGTACCTATGTCTTTTTCAAAATGTTACTAAAGTATCAGAAAATACCTGCAAAAGTATTAATACCATCCCTCACATTTTGCTGATGTTAAGACAAGGAGAAAAAGAAGGTGGAAGCACAAGCCTCCAGCCACAGGGTACACTCAACAGTGAGCTACAAAGGGCAATCAGCATTGTTGGCTCTGATCTCCAGTCGGATTAACTGTGCCGTTACACTGTGCTTTTTTACCACCTTCTCTGAAATGTCAAATGACCCTTTGTTCACTGTCTTGTCCTCTCTTCCTATGGGATGAACTTGTTATTTTGCTTCCATGCTGGCCAAACCTCACAGGCGGAGCAAGCCCATGGGTGTGTTAATCCCATTCCCTTGCAAACACTTTGGATCTCCACGAGAAGGTCACCACTACTTTCCTTAATGAGTCCACTTACTCTCTTTACATGAATTTCTACTTTTGTGGTGATAACCAAAAGGGGGTTTTGCTACACGCATAGAGACAAATACAAGAGACATCTCTTGCTTTACTGTGTGCTCTGATGATTCTCTCATGAGACACATGAGGTCAAATTCATACTTAAGTTGCCTTGCTCTGCTCCAAGACTGGGTTGAAATCCAATTTAAACAAAATCTTTCTGCATTAAAGAAATTGCAGGGGTAAAGCAATCGTAACTGTGGGCCCTCTTATAACTTTGGATCACAGCATATGTAATGTACAGATACAGAATACAAAGGGAGCAGAGAAGCATTCAAATGGGAGTAGTTCAATAGTAGATGAAGAGTTTGGTTACTATGGTTAAAATACTTAACTTCTTCTCACATCCTATTTAAATAGCATCTTTGGCTTTTTTTCATCTCTATTCCCTACTCCTCTTCCTCCTATCAATTATTTCTGTTTTTTTAATGCCTGTTTCTAGCCTTGTTTTTCTCTTCCAATACTGTCTTTTACCACTGAAATTCCCCTTTTGTTTGGTTCAGCATCTCATTCTCACATTTTAACTACAAACAACACCTTCCTCCAGATTGGTGTCTGATTTTCTCCGTATTAATGAGAATGGGCATTTTCCTTCCAAAGCAGTCAGATTTGTCTTTAATCAGGAACACTTTAAAATTTGTAGTGCAATTACTCTTTAAGTACTATCTAATATGGTATAGATATGCCATTCCACATTGAACAGCATCTAAGACGCCATCTACTACTTCGCTTCCCTTGCACTCTTTCCTGTCCCCTTGTACTGGTTTTGGCTGGGATAGAGTTAATTCTCTTCACAGTGGCTAGTATGATCCTAGGTTTGGGATTTTTGATGAGCACAGTGTTGAAAAAATAGGGATTTTTTTGCTACTGTTTAGCAGTGCTTACCAGAGCCAAGGCCTTTTTTTCTCCTCACACCACTCCCTCAGTGAGGAGGCTGGGGATGGGCAAGAAGTTGTGAGGGGACACAGATGGGAGAGCTGACCGCAACTGACCAAAGAGATATTCCAGACCATAGGGTGTCATGCTCAGCACATAGAGCTGGGGGGAGAAGCACAAAAGGGGAAACATTCTGAGTTCATGGCATTTGTCTTCCCAAGTCACTGTTACATATGACCGAGGCCTGCTGTCCTGGAGATGGCTGAACACTTGGGAAATGGTGAATGAATTCCCTGTTTTGTTTTGCTAGTGTGTTCAGCTTTAGCTTTCCCTATAAACTGTTTTTATCTCGACACATGAGTTTTCTTGCTTTTATCCTTCCAATCCTCTCCCTGATCCCAATGGTGGGCAAGTGAGCATGGTGCTTAGTTGCTGGATTGGGTTAAAGCTCCTCTTCCTTCAAAAAACATTTCCTGTAAGGAAATTTTCTGGGTTCCGTTACATAATTTTTCTTTAACCACATGCTGCTTCTTTACACCAATCCAAATTACACTGCCACAATGTTAGCAGAAGGCTGGAAGCACTGCTTCAACTTACAATGTTGCCCAAATAAAAAATATTCAGTATCTGTCAGGATAACAAAAGTTACGTGATCCAGAGTGACTGAACTTTGAATCAATGGGCAAGTACTGAATTTTACGGCTCATTTTCCTGTTTGCTTTTTTGAGAATAAAACCAAACTTTATCATGATACTGTACAAATACATCGTGGTTGGAAGTTTTTATTAGATTAGTCAATCTTTGAAGTGTTGTTTTCTGAATTTTAAAGGGAACAGTCTAAAAAAGATTATTCTACTAGTTTTTCCCCCTCTCAAAACAGATAAAATAACAGAAATTTCCTGCACTGGTACCATAACTAGGCAACTGCATTAAGCCAGCACTATTTCAACATACATTGTTTTCATCTATTGCCTGGAGAATACCATCAAAAGGAATAAGCAATCTCTCACCCAGTTACTTAGAGTAATTATATTGAGATTTTTAAAAGGCATTCAAAGGATGATGTTTTTCTTTCGACTGCTTAAAGGGAAAACGTTAATGATACAACCACTGGTATTTAATCAAAACCATGTGCAAGGCTGAAAGACTCTTGAAGTACACACGGGAAGAAAGGAAGATATTGTATGAAAAATTTCAAATATTTAACATTTCTTACACCTGAAATTCAATGCTTATGAGCATAGAAAGAAAAAATATCTCTTATTCTAGATATATCTTTGATATCTTTGGACAGACAATTTGGAAGCCTGCCTTTCTGCAATTAACAAGGAGACTTATTTGACAAGATTTAGTCAATATCTAAGGAGATACAGAGAAACACAGTACGATGAATGACACAATTTTAAAGACCAACTGTGAGTTTGACAAGTCTTGAATCCCATTTAGTGGAATTATGCTTCTGATCCCAGGAAAGCTCTCAAATACTAGTCCTCGGTCAGGGATTAGAATAGATACACTCATTGAGTATTGAGAAGAACAAGACCACCACCACCAACAATAAAGTCTAGTTTTCATTAGAGTAGTAATTAGATGGTCTTCAGCACAGACAGAAACAAGACTACTACAGTCACGTTCTCTGCATCAGGGTGTTACGTCAACCACTACCCTGCAAGCATGGAGAGGACAGAAGTTGCACAAGACCACTCACAGAGGAAGGACAATCAAGGACCTATGGCTTGACTTTGATCAACACAAGCAGAGAGAAAGGGGACACACAAGGCAGATTCTGACACTTTGTCGAGTTAAAGAAGTGATCATCTATCTCTTGTTTGAAGGGAATGCAACATGTAGCATTTGGCACTCTTCGCTGGTTGAGGCAAATGCATAGGCAGCAAAGTTTATAAGCCTTATAGTAGAGGAGACATTCTAATGCTACACTCAGCTTTCTGAGGTACAAGTTTGGGCAGTGTTTTAAGTTAAAAGCAGCCAATTATTCTTTTTTTTTCCTGCAAAAAAGGAGAAATAATATCCTTTTTATTATGTTCTTTATGGGATCCAAT